TCCCCTGGGAATAGAGGAGAGGAAAATCACCCCCACTGGAGAACCACTGCTCCAGAGAAAACTTTCTAGGATTCTAAAACCTTTTTAGAATGATGCTGAACAACAGAGCAATAGACCATTACCTTACTTTGCCTCAGTAGCAAGCAAACCTATCTGCATCTCCGACTTGTGGGAGCCTGTTTACTCATGGATGTAAACAACTAATCACCCAGTGGGAGAGGGTAGCACCGTCTCCCTGACACGGATTGCCATTTCTTTTGCTGCAGAGCTCTGGAGAGTGTACTATTTCATTCAGCAAAAATTAAAGAGAGAACTAGGTGCAGTATTGTCAGAACACATGGAATCAGAGGAAAGAATTGAGAGGTTGGGAATACCTGTGTGGGGCTCTGATATTTCAGGCTCATCTGACGTTGTAGGGCTTGAGAAAACGTCATAAGCTGCTTTAAAGGAAAAGGTAAAACAAAAGAGATAATGTTAATTTTGACTGAACAGATTTCGCGACATATTTTAATAATGGTCTTGTCACTACAGTGTAAGCAGTCGCTAACACTTCCTGTAGTCCCTCTTGACCTGAACTAAAGGTCTCTGTGCAGCGAGCCTGACACCGGCCTCGGGCTGATGTGCGCATAGTGCTGTATATTTACAGTAAAGTGGTGCCAGCTCTAAATCAAAGAGCTCCCAAGAATATAAACGTAAACGAAGTCAGATGGGAGAGATCTCCAAAGAAGGAAACAACATTCACATAGAGACTCTTTGCACAAAGTCTACTGCTTCATCTTTCTGCTTAGTAAACATTTCCACCATGCTACCTTAACATTCGGACAGCACTTTACAATTTGCACTGCGCTGTCTCATATATATGTTTATTTAACTGCCTTAACACCCCTGAGAAATGGGTGAGGTATACTTTATTCCCACTTCATAGATAAAGGGATATTATCTCTATTTCCTAGACAATGCAGCAGAGATTCACAATGGTGATACATCTGCCAGTGGTCACACACGGGATTGACCGGTGCAGCATATTTTTCACTGCATTCACAGGGCCAGGAACAGTGGTGCTAAGACCCAGCACTCTATCCCTTGCACTGTTGTTCCTGCCCCTTTACCTGGAGGCAGTCTTCTTTCTCTGTTCCTTCATTAAGCCAAGAACCCCTCTATAATCTAAGTGGATTTAAAGATAACGTTTATATTCTACATGAAATAAAGAAAGCAGGGTGATCTTAAAAACAAAGGTTGGTTTTAAAACAAGGGTCATTTTCATGTTCACATAAGAGTTGAATCTGTAAGCAAAAACAGGACCAAAATACAAATGTCCTCTCTTCTGCACCAAGAGCTGTCACTACGATAATGACAGGTGTACAGGAGCTTGAATTGTGAGGTAGACGTTCCTTTCCTTGCCCCTTCAAAAAGGCTGTACAGAAGTAAACTAGAAAGGTGGGGGGGGGCTTATGGGAAAATTCTCTCATGGGGTTACTTGTAATTCAATGACAGTGTAATGATTTGAACCACCCCTAGTTGAAGCTGTAAGAAAGATAGTATCAGACCCTGTGACACACTCTGATATTCGGATAGGACAGTTTATATCGTACCACATACTAAAGAGGCAGGAGATACATTTCAGCTTGTGAAGGTGAGTCTATTGCTTTGCAAAATCTTAAAAAACAACAACAAATAAACAACCAGTAAGGACAGCACTCAGAATATTATGAGTTAAAATGTGCAAACATTCTGAGCGTAAGTACATTACATCTTTAGTGTAGCTACAACTTTAAAGGGTCAGAGAAGAAAGACGAATCTTCCAAAGAACAGAAAAGCTGGCAGTTGCTGATTTTAGTCTTGCTTTAAGCCAATTTCATGGAACCATCGAAGTCAGTTCTAGCTACCACTAAATAAAGTAAGAAACCTTGACCAACTTGTATTTCACCCTCTCATACTAGAAGAATTATGA